AAACTGTTTTACATAGATAAACGAAAATAATAATATTACCACCGAATTTCGTTTGTAAGTAGATAAAAACCAGATGTCCAACCTATACCTGTCAAATCCAGAAAATCACTAGTAGACATAAATTTTGAACGAAAATTCCTTGACGTACAATTGAAAGAAAAGAAAGTTGATTTTACTGAGGTACATTAGGGACAGAAAAAATCTTTGCATATCCCAGGAATAACTACCAAGTTTATGTTAAACATATAAAATAAAACGACTTTTACTGCCTCTTTTATTGCCGTCTTTTACATTATTGTCCAGCATTTTTCTTTAGGTCAAAAAATTTCCGCTTTCTTATAAATTAGGTTAATTCAACTTATTTTTATTTTACCATAAAAGGATACATCAAATTTACAGTTTTTTTACATATTAGGTAGGTATAAGAGATTTAAGCTTGCGAAAAGTTGCTCGTTGGATAAAAGCTCATTAAAAGATTAAAACACCTTGTCAATTAAATAATCCTTTAAATCTATTAAAATCTATTACAAAAATGAAAAAATGTTTTAAACAAAATCTACCTATTTTTTGTCGAATGATCCGAATCTGCAATAAAAAATAGGGTTTCATTGGAAATTTTAAAGTTACCCCCTTTTTCCCCCTATAAGGAGGAGAGTATGAGGACCAATTTAAGTACTGGTTAATTTCCCTCCTTGAATCATTTAATTTTTATTTTAAACATTTTTTCGTAAAATTCATACTAAGATATTTAAAAGTTTCAAGTTAAATGACTCACCCTGTATATAGAAGCATTTTTTCAGTGAAAGTGAAGAGAATGATTTAGGGGCACTCCACGGTGGAGTCTCCACGCGAATTTTTAATGCTTTATTTGGTTTACTGCCGGCGAAAAGGTCAGTAGAAACGTACATATAAACTTTATAAATATTGGCGTTAAGAAACTATTTAATACTTTTGTATGTTTTTGTCTATTAAGATAATACAATTATTTTCACATATATATAGTTTGATATAGCCTTTTCCTTTTCACCTTTCAAACTAATTATACTTCCTTAATAACAAAACTCTGTACTTCTTCTATTTCTTTATTATTTTTATCATTGTTGTCGTTCCTTGTATAGGATTTTGTTTAGTTTAACGTGGACAAAAGCAAAGAACCAAATAAGTTCAGTAACAATTTTGGTCATTAACACAGATTTCCCTCCTTAAATTCTAAAAGTGTTACATCGCAGAATCAATTTAATCGTAAAATTTTTATGAAAAACATTATTGATAGTGTCAGTTTTTCACTGAAGATGCAAAAATCGAATGTCGAATATGATAAATGAGTAATATCTACATCCTGGTAATTGGTAATAAGATTCTTTTCAAATGGGATTCTTCGAAAGAGAAAATATCTACTCAAATTTCTTATTCATTTGGATGAGGATTTATGTTACATTTTGGTATTTTTATATATTTTACAAGCCATACATATTTTTTAAATAAACTAGATGGTGCACAAATATTATTGTGCAGCATTTTAGTATTAGCCTCGTAAATAAAAATATTTTGTGTTTACAACTACAACTACATACATTAATTTAAGACATTTGCATAACAAATAGGTTTCTTGAAGTTTAATCAATAAAGCATTAAAATATCTTTGAAAGATACATGTCAATGGCGGTTAATAAAACATGAAACTATTTACTTTTGTTTTCGAGGAACATGACAAATATTTACGTAAGGCTATAGAAGTGACGCAGTAAATCTAATTATAAACCACTTTTTATTAGCAATACATTTAATTGAAGGTGCTTCATTTAATTAAAAGGAAAATCGCCCTGACGATCAAAAAATTTATTTTTTATCTTAAAAATCAAGCTATCGAAGCTTAAATTTAAGAGTACAAAAATGTAAAGTCATCTTATATAATTTTTTTTCCAATGGCCAATTTTGATAAGATCTACCAGTACCATATAATTATTATTATTATTATTATTATTATTACTATTATTATTATTATTATTATTATCTCGAAAAATGGGACGAAACTATATCTTTTTGTATTCTTTAAAATCGTTATATTGGATAAATTAAAAAATTCAATTTTTTTCCGCCTGACTCAATTTTTTTTTAAATCGCACAAAACTACCTATAGTGAGTCACCTACGAATGCTATACTGATTACATGTTAAATATTCAAAATGTTATGTCACAAAATCCTCAACACTTTTGGAAGATTGTGTGATCTTTAAAAAATAATTTTTCAAGACCTAAAACAATTTAGAAAAAAACCAACTGAAATTTTAAACTATTTTTTCTACTCCCACCTTTAAAACGCCCTTTATCGTACATGTTTCCATGACACTAAGTGACCTTTTAAATACACATTGACAAGTTGTGGCTTTACGGCGCTTTAGACACGGGCTGAAGTTAGCAACAGGTTTTTAGTCACGGGCTGAAGTTAGTTTTAAGTTAGTTGACAGTTGTCAAATGTCATACAATCGTTAAAATAAAGTGGCTTTCTTGTAAAATAATACTAAATGTGAAAATTATTTTATTATCTCAATACAAAAATACAAAAATATTAAATAGTTTCTCAACGCCAATATTTGAAAAGTTTATATGAACATTGTACTAACCTTTTAATTTCGCCGGTAGTAAACTATAACTTAAATTCGGGCACGGACTCTACTGTAAAGTCCTCATAAAACATTTCCTTTACTTTCACCAGGGTGGAAGAAGGAGGTGATTCAACTCCGTCGTTGAAGGCGGCCAGATAAGTCAGTATTTTTTAAAAGTCTGTATAGATGGCGCATTGAAGTGGAACCTGTTTTAATCCCGGTGCACAACAAACTTTTCCCATTTTTAGTAAAATTACATTGATTAACTTCAAAGAATAGACCACTAAGCTTAATTAAAATTCAAATAAAACCATTTCAACGTCACTTTTGTGCATTTGTGGCGACTGTGAATTTTGGTAGAACAGTTGGCAATACTACATTATTGCCAATCGTTCTGCAAATTATTATAATAATGCTGTTGGAAAAGATGTAATTTTCGTTAAGGAGGGTAGAAGACTCTCCTTGGGTTTTGGTTATCTTATAATTTGTTGTTAAAAGTTAAGTTGTTATAGAATATATGGATTTCGTTGGTAAAACCTTAGGTTCTTATTTGACTCGCCATCTAACGAACAACGAACGAAATACTGACTTATGTGGACGCTGCTTCTGTACTTTAGAGATAGAAGCGATATCACCTCCTTCTTCCACCCTGACTTTCACTGTGAAAAACTGTCAATTTTCAATATACATTTCGATTTATAACCTGTGTTTATAAAATGTAAAAATGTGACATTTGACAGTTTCCCCTGTTGTTTAATAGATGGTGCTCTATACAGGGTGTCCCAGAACTCGCGCCACATAGAAAACCGGAACGTGCCGAAAGTAACGTGAATCACATATTTGAAAATTAAAATTGTCTTACGCAAAGGATAAGCGAGATAAGAATAAAAAACGATAGCCAATCCCAATAGATGGCCATAGGAAATTCTTTAAATTGCTAGGATACTTAGGTTGCATTGTTGATAATAAAAAATATGTAAAATATTTGGTCCACTGGAATCCAATTCATTGTGATACTGCTGTCAAAATCCTGTCATTAATATTATATTAGGTTATAAATTAAGTTATTATAAATAATGTTTTCCTTAGATGATTATACTGAAATGATAATTATTTATTTATTTAGTGTGGGCGCAACGCCAGGGAGACAACGCGAGTTTTTTCCCAGCCCTTTCCTAATCGTTATTTTAAAACATTGGCGTTCTGAAGTATAAGTCATAGACCCCCCTATTTTGATTATTTGACAATTGTTTTTTGCTTTGTTGGTCTCAAAAAATGTAACTATTTATGTTGAAGTAGTGTACCGAATTTGAACTTAATATCTTATCAATTACTTGAATTATTAAAAAAAAATCAGTTTTAAATTTCAAACTTTGTCGCCCTGTATATCTAACATGAAGCTCTAAATTGAAAAATGGTATTATGAAACTCTTATTGTTTTAACTCAAAGAATATATGGTTAACTGATTGACCTCCTTTTCCAGGACACCCTGTATAAAACAATCACACATTTAAAATATTGCCCCCTTAATAAAATTGTTAACAATAAATAGAGTAGGTATTTCCCATTAGGAATTTCTTAATGCTTTTTTGAATATTAACACAGGTAGATTTAGCATGAATTATTACTTAGAAAACCAATATTTTTGTTATATAAATTTTGCACTAGTTTTAGTTTTAATACATTCAGAAGAAGCTACTGTGTAGTAAAACAATTGTCAACATTTAATAAATTACGTGAAACTTTCAAAACATAGTTGTTTTTATATTTACAAAAAAGTTTATATACAAAACTAAGTTTTACAGATCTAAATACAATATAGATTATAATTATAAACTATTTGGTACTTCGTTTTTTAGCATTGGAAATTGAAGATCAGGGTATTTTGTTGGATTCCTAGTTAACCATTAAACCATAATAACTTTATAAAAAATTAAGCTTACTAACTTTTGGTTTTTAATGTCAAGATCATATACTCTTCATTGGTTGTCACCTTTTTTTTCATGTTATACTCTGCACAAAAGTGTTTTATACTCTTAAAAGAATGTTTAACTAGTGTAACAATAGCTATTTGATATTTTTTTTCGAGCGTTAATCAAACTGCCGTGACGATAACTGATAGTAGATAAAAGCTTTGCAACATACAAACAGCTTTTAAAAGGTTTTACCGAAGTAAGTGGCTCTTACCGGGATTTTATGAAACGGCGTTTTATAAAATTTTATGAAAGCAAACAGTTGCTTATTTGCTTAATTTATAAATTGGAGTTTTATTGAGAAGAAAGTGCGTTTTTTACTTTATATAAGACAAACATTTAATTTTATATTTACATATTAAAAAACTAATATCAAACTTTTACGAGGAGATTTGTATCAATAATTTTTATTTGTTTCAGGATTTTCCTTTCTCCTTCACTATGAACGGCAGTGATTCTACATTGGACGATGTGTTGGGGTCTTCGAACTATACATTAATTGTTTTATACGTTATAGTGTTCTTGTGGGCTTTGGTGACGAATATTCTAGTAATTTTGGTGGTGATTAAATATGAGTACATGAGAAAGTAAGTATTTAATTGCTTAGATTATAATGTATTTTTATAATTAGGTTAAAAGCCTAAAACGATTGTTGTGGGATTGCCAGCGCATTGTCCTACAAATCTTTATAATAGTTTATTTTATTAGGATTTTCCTCTGTAAGCTCGTGCCACAGAAATCATGCAAGCACGAGAAAGGCCTTTACAGGCGTGTTATCAGTGGCGCAGCTAGGACCAGGGTAAAGGTCTCAAAATTACCAAAAGAAAGAGGTCGATACATTGCGAAAATCTAAGACGAAATTTCCTTTACCATTGTTCTGAATGCGCAAAATTTCAGGAGTTATTTAATTTTTAAGGCCGCCAATGAGGGTGCAGTGTTTCTGCTCTATGGTGACTTTCTGATCTATAGTGATTCAGCGCTTGTGACAACAAATACCGATTTTTTTTTGTTTTTCTCAATGATAGAAAATCAGCGTCTTTTGCAAACATTAAAAATATAACAAAACTCCTTCAAATTCGAAAAAGTTTATTTGGATTTTTTTATTTTTATTTGCTTAATTTTCTAAAAAGGTAATTTTTATTAAATTAAAAAAAAAACATGAATAATTTCTGATACCTTATAGGAAAGCTCTTAAAAAGTATTTTTCTACTCCCACCTTTAAAAAGTTAGCAACAGGTTTTTAGTCACGGGTTGAAGTTAGTTTTAAGTTAGTTGACAGTTGTCAAATGTCATACAATCGTTAAAATTAAGTGCCTTTCTTGTAAAATAATACTAAATGTGAAAATTATTTTATTATCTCAATACAAAAATACAAAAGTATTAAATAGTTTCTCATCGCCAATATTTGAAAAGTTTATATGAAAATTGTACTGACCTTTTAATTTGGCGGCAGTAAACTATAACTTAAATTCGGACACGGACTCCACTGTAAAGGGCTCATAGAACATTTTTTTTACTTTCATTGTGAAAAACTGTCAATTTTCAAGAAATACATTTCGATTTATAATCTGTGTTTATAAAATAAAAAAATTTGACATTTGACGGTGACACACAGATTTCCCTATTGTTTCATAGAAGGCGCTCTATACAAATCTTTGATTTAAATCATTTTAAGATAATAATAAGTATTTGTCGTAGAAAGAGTATAGTATGCACCTCGTTTATAAACTTTTTTATACACTCATTAATTTAAGCACTCGCTCGCAAGCTCGCTCGTGCCTAAATTAAATTTGTGTATAAAATGGTGTTTATCAAACTTGATACATAATATACTATTATTTCAATTTCTCGTTATAAATATCAAATTAAATCATTAAACATAAAATTGAACCATTTGATGCCGTAAAACATTAGTAAAACATTTCTAACTAAAGTATAATAAACTAAAAAACATAAATAAACAATTCCTTTAAGAATAATCAAAACACTTTAATTTCAAGCTTTTAAAATTAAATGCTAGTCTATTTTTATATAGTTTTTTATTATTTTAAAATTTTTGTCGCGAAATATATTGGCATTATTGTACAATTTAAATCCTCAATGAAATGTGTATGTGGGTTTTTTGTATCAGATTTATAAAAACTTACAAAAAAACTGCTATTCTTGCTGATTAGTTTTAATATTTTAAATAGCATTTTTTGTTTTCCAAAATAGTGTTGAAATTATTTTTAATTATGATGCTCAAAGTCGTTGTGCTCTAAGAACTGCAGGGGCACCCTGTACATCATAAATATGTTCAAGAGCTGGTTGCAAAATTTGAACAAATGGGATATGTTTGCAATTGAAAAAGGAACCAACCTAGGATACTCAATGAAGCCACGCATATTGAGGTTCTTGGTCAGTTTGGTGTACAACACAATATCACTGCGTTCGACATCTAGATTAACAGGGTTTTCCCTGAGTATGTTAGGATGATCTTAAAACATCACAAATTCTAGCAATTCAAAATGCATATATGCATAATATTTTAAACAAGAACTTGGCGATGATGATGCAGACAGGCGTTTAGAATTTTGTGAAATCATGACCAATAAAATAATATATCAAATCGAAATACTAAAAAACATTTGGTCATCGATGAGTGTCTTTTTATCCAAATGGAAATATTTACAAACAAAATTATCTTTATTGGGGCAAAGAAAATCCTCATTTCATCACAGAAAATCATACCCAGTAATACTGGGCCAGTATACTGAAAAACTTAATGTCTGGGGAGGAATTTTGGGAGATTGCATTATTGGTCCCTTATTTATTGACCAAAATTTGGTCAAATTTATTTTGAAATGTAAGATGTTATTACAATACAATACATGCACCAATAATAAATGAAGTAGACAATCAAAAAGGAGAGGATGAGTAGCTTCGGATGAAAATGTATTAAATTTTTAACAAGATGGGGCAACACCTCATTATGTAGCTGCTGTTAGGGCTTGGCTGAATTAAAATTATCCAGAACAGTAGATTGGTAGAGGGGGACCAATAGAATGGCCTCCCAGATTTCCAGATGTGACACCATTAGACTTTTTCTTATGAGGTCATTTAAAATCTGCCTCATTCTATTGAAGATCCGCAACAACGAATAAATCAAGAATGCCGAGCTATTCCACGAAAAGCATTTCAAAATGTTCGAGGGGAATTTGAGAATAGACTGTACTATTATTTACAAAATATTGGGTATAATTTTGAGCATTTATAAAAGCTAATAAATAAATTGTTTTGATTATTGTTGAAAAAATTGTTTATTTACGTTTTTTTAGTTTAATATTATGAACCCACATATTTTTAAAACTAAACAAAACATCATTTTTTTTTTAATTTACAAATCGATCAGTCTCATAAACTATTGACCAAAAAAAATCAGAAAAGTACCTATTTTAAATACGTACAAATACATGATAAGTAAATCTGGCTGGACATGTTCCATATACAAGTTGCATATTAGCTTAGTCATTTAGAGTTTTTCAATACTTTATTTACTACTATTGCATAATTTTAGTGTTTTTTCGTGAATATTGTTAAGCATTCTAAATTTCCTGCCTAACAACGTGAATAATAAACTCAGTATTCACGTTGTTAGGCATCAGTGATTGGCCGATTTCAGTATTCACTGTGATTTGAACCAATCGAGTTTTAAATTAGAAGAAGGCGACTATAATAACATTTAAAATTGGTAAAAAGTGAGGTTAACCATTTGATGGTTTATTTTATTTCATTTTGAAAATCATTTAATTATCTACTTACACACTCGAGATTATGCGCAATATTCACTCGGATGATTTAGGTCTCTCGTCTAGCTACTCGAGACGTAAACCTCATCCTCATCCTGCATTATCTCTCGTATAATAATATACTATTTTACCACTCTCTTAAAATGAATTATTCAAAAATAACTAATTATAAGTCATATTTGACTAATTGAGGCCTGTCATTGCAAAACCGACAATCTCCACTTTTGGTCAAAAATTAGATTTTTGGCGGAGACTGTACTTCAACTAAACTGCGCACCACTCAATGTGTCGCGACCAAAAATTTCGTCCTTTTTCAAAACGACATAACTTTTTTGTTTCTTGAACGATTTTATTTTGGTTTGTAATGTCTGCTAGCCCCATTATCTCGCAATTCATGCTATAGATATGAAGCTCACGGTTCTTCAAGTAAATTTACTACAGGGTCATATGTAAAACAGTGAAAAATTTCAATAACTTCATCCAAGCCTCGTTTGTAAAATAAATATTTTTTTCTCGTTTTTTTACTTTGAAATAATGAAGTATTATGTCTTACTTTGAAACGCTTTTCAAATTTTTCGAATTGGAATCTTAGCAACAAAAATATGATTTTTTTCAATGGAGTACATTTGATGCTTTTTTGTAGGCAATACACTCAGCCTTTTTAAGAACAAAAAGATAAGATGGTAAAAGATTGTTCCTTGAATAATTCTGAACAAGCGACAAGCAACAAACTTCCATTATTTTTAGAGCAACCTAATCAAATACCACTTTTTTAAAATAACATTTTGGTGAAAATTTTCGAAAACTAAACCTGAACCGATATTTACGTTCGTGACATGTTTTCTTCATAATTTTGACCTGATTGTGATTCAGTTGTCAAATTTAGGTTTCAGATAAAACCAAAATCACCAAGAATCAAAATTCGAAAACAATTCCTGCCTGTTAAATGTCTCAATAAAATCTGATTGCTGAATTGTACTGTTTTTTACTGTGTTTTGCATCTTTATTATCATGTCACTGAATAATCAAATCAAGAATCAAATGATGAAAATTAAATGCCAATAATTTGGTGTTGGTGGACGACAATGCCCGTCCGCATCGCGCTAATATCGTAAATGAGTATTTAAGGGACCATGATATTGAGAAAATGAATTGGCCACCTTTGTCTTCGGATATGAATCCTATTAAGCACGTGTGGATCAGGATGAAACTAAAGATTAAAGAGAGAAAAGGACGCATGGAAAATTTGAATGAATTGGTAAATTCGATTCAGGAAGAATGGGAAGCCATACCCCAGGAATTTGTAAGGAACTTGGTCTAGGGAATGCCCAGGAGGGTTAACGAATTATTACGGGTTTGGGAAGGGCCAACGAAATATAGAAAGTTATTATTGTTATTGTTTGTTACATTTTTCTGTTGAATGTTGTAGTTTTTATTATGATTATATCTTCGCATAAAATTTTCAAAAATGAACAAACAGGTTTTGTACTTTATTACCAATTAGGTAGGTACTTATCAGTAATAAGTTATCACTAGTGCGCAATATACATGTAATTTATGTAACATTATCCTAACCACTCAAACAAATTGCAGTAAGTATACTTATATATGCCATTATAATGGCATTGGCAAAGGCATGTTATTGAGACATTTAACTGCCGGGAATTGTTTTCGAATTTTGATTCTTGGTGATTTTGGTTTTATCTAAAACTTAAATTTGACAACTAAATCACATCAGGTGGTCAAAATTATAAAGCAAACAAAATTTCATTTTGAAAAAGTGGTCTTTGCTTAGGTTC